GAGGGAGAATGGCCGTTAGGTGAGGGTGGGGTAGGCTTCCCTGAAGAGATGGGTTTTGAGGGAGCGCCTGAATGTGAGGAGGGAAGGCGACAGTCTGATGGATTGGGGCAGTGAGTTCCAGAGGATGGGGGAGGACCTGGAGAAGTCTTGCAGTCGTGCATGGGAGGAGGAGACCAGGGAGCAGGATAGAAGGAGGTCCTGTGAGGAGCGAAGGGTACGGGTAGGGTGTTACTTGGGGAAATGCAGAGACTAAAAGGGAATTCTTATAAAATAAAAAACTTAAATTTTAAATTTCCTAAAAATTACATAGTGGCATGCCTTGAGATATGAAAGGGTGTCAGTTAACAATTTATAGCAACCCATTGTGCACAAACATGATATTACCATAATGGTACCAGTGGTTAGTACCTCAATAGCTTTTTGCATGTGAGCTTTTTTTTCTGTGTGTTGGTGTGGCAATTGCTCATGTAATTAATCAACTTTATACAATTCTCTGCTTCTTATGTTTTATCCTTACTACTTGTGCATGTGAGTTTTTTTTTTCTGTGTGTTGGTGCTGAAATTGCTCATGTAATTAATCAACTTTATAAAATGCTCTGCTACCTATGTTTTAGCTCTCTAGGGAATACTTCAGGAAGAAAAAAAATAAAGTTCTGGCATTATCTTGGTTACGGTAAGCCAAACAGATGTGAACCTTCCTGATATTGTTTTAGAACATTTTGTTTTTCAATATATTTATTTAAAGAGCAATACAACCAAAATAGAGAATGACAGCTGTAAAAGTACAGGATGCATTGCATGCACATAATGGTTGACAAAAATCTTAATTTGTAATGAACAGTTTATTTATAGGAGGATGTAGGGTCCTTTTGATTAGTTCCCCTGAATAAGTTTAATTTCTCTTTGCATTCATGTCTTTTATATTATTTAACTACTTGAATGTACTTAGATAATAACAAGTGGGTTCAAACAGTGGCTTTATCCCCAAATGTAAAGAAGATTATGTCTAAAAGGACTCAGAAGCAGTAAACATTAACCTAGCAGGAAAGGATTAAGGGGTACAACATAGATCAGAAAGATAGTAAGGAATTAAAGTGATTCTTAAGTTTCTTTTTTTTTTATATCAAACATCTCATAATTACGTGCTCTTTGCAATGATTTTGCACAGGATTACCCAATAATAGGAACAATTGGCCTCAGAAAGCATGAGGCATCACATGAATGGATGGATGGATGGATGGCTGAGTCAACGCACCCCCACTTCTGTTCTCACTCCAAGTTTTTCACAACCAAGCCTCGTAGTTACAAAGACAAGGATAACCCAAAAAACAAAAAAAAGCCAATAGTGTAAATACTGTAAAAGCCATTTGTTACTTTTATTTAAACATTGCACTTACATAAAAAAAAAAAAAGGCTCAGTCAGAAATTTAGATTAACATTGAACAGATGCTTTCTCATCCCAGCAGCTGACAGGGTGCCTCCCAATATTCATGTGACTGCCCTCAAAGCACAGCCCACTGCCACTCTACACTGCTGGTCCCTGCTGACATGCACACGTAGAAAACCACTCCCTAACTAGTTTTGTACCCTTTCTCAAAGGATCCCCTTGTACAGTTCAACATTTAGCTAGTGTCCATGCCAATTACGCATTTTATATGAATATACTATATATTGGTGAATGCTATAATATAGAATTATTTACTTAGCTTCAAGTACAAATCGGAATTTGGGATGTTTTCTTAAAATAAATATGTAATAAAATTACTATGAGGGCAGCCATTGCTTACTAAAAAGTTGACTGAATTTCTCTGGATTCAATTCTTTGAGTTACTGACCCAGAACAAGCATTTAGAAATGGACTAAATCCATTGGGCAATACACATTTTCAGGACAGTTCAGCAAACAGCCTCTTTCAGAACAAGTATTTCATAAAGAATATATGAAACCACAGAACATAAAATGCAATATATCTCAGTTTACCAAGTCTTAGATGTAAGGAATGCATTACTTTTCTTATTTTAGTTTTCTTTTTTTTTCTTTTTTTTTACCCAGTAATCCTATAAATAACACATATATGGTCCCTTTACGTATGTTTTTCAACACTATTATTCTCTCTTTAATTTAATATCCATATATAAAAGATTGTCAATACATACAATTAACTCTTCCCATTATGTACCCCTCTTCCCTCTCCTCCCCTTCCCAACCCCCTAAGAAAAAAAAAAACACCCACCATGACTCTTTCCACTTCCACTGGATCCCTCCTAAAATTTATACCTTTATACATACAACAAGCAAAGAGTCATCAATCAAAGCATACAACAGAAAAAAAAACAAAACAATGTACAAAATATTCTCTATTCACCACCATACGTCTTAATTCTTATTTCCATATATCTCTCTGATCTCTAAAATTGTAACCAGTCTTTCCATGTGGCTTTCAGCTTATCTAAGGAATCTTCACATTCATGCACTCTCTCTTCAACTTCATATATACCATCAACCTTTGAGACCCATTCCCCAATACTAGATGTGTTTTGTGTCTTCCAATACTTAGGGATTAACCCTGCATTCAGTAAATTGGCAATGAAGACCTCTTGTGCTGGGCCATTGATGTTTCCGTACAATGAAACAGACACTTCCAAGGATCCCACCCCACCTGCTTGCCCATTGTATCCTGTGTAATATCAATAATACTTTCCCAAAATACTTTTATTTTCAGGGAATACCATCATATGTGTCCCAGGGCATCTAATTCTCCACATTCCCTCCAACATAAAGGGAGCACCTCTTCTTGACAGTTCTTAGCCAACCTGGCTTATATACCACCTTGCAAATATCTTGAAACTCATCTCTTTTGTTTTCAGATCTACAGAGGGAAGGCTCACCAAATTTAGTGTTTTTAGCCTCAGGTGATCATTCTCCAGCTGCCCAAGCTCCCTTTTGTTCACATATGGGGGTACTTTCGCTTTGGTCACTCTAATTAGCATTTTACGATAAATACGAGAAGTTAAACATTGAGCATTTCCTGAATATTTGAGCTAAATATTTTTTCTATTGGCAATAAATTGTCTCCTGAAAGTATTGGATGAGGTAACAATACTATATAATGCTGTATTTCGGCATTTCTCCAATGATCTAAAGGTACTACACCCTATTTTCCCTGCAACTCATGAAGTGAACATTAAGTGTCCCCCTTCATTATGTCCCTTAACTGAAGTGTGTTTTACTTTACCCAATGTAAACAAAACAAATGCTCTTCCCTGGTAAAAAAAATAAGTATGAATTAACAAAATTTAAGGGGAGTTGCATTCCCAATTAAATTGTTTTTGTGCAGCATCCTTAATCCTGAACACATTTCTAGTAACTGGTCTAGTGTTTCTATTTAACTCACAATCATTTGTGGAATCCATATGACTTTATCTAGTGCTACCTTACTTCTATTCTGAAAAATTCTATCCCTACCCATCCACTGTCTTTTAAGCTCACAGAAAGTGGCAAGGATGTGGCATTTCTGGCAAGACCAACAATTATTTTTTGTACTTGCTGAAAATGTTTCAGCCTGAAAAGTGAAAAAACTAATACAGCAACCCATCTATGGACTGATTACTTTCAATAGGTAAAATTAAAATTTTGGAGTTTAGATACCCATTAAACACATCTGTCCTCATGGAGGCAGCAACTCCCTTATTAAGGTACTGCAGTTTAGCTCTAAAGAAATCCTTGTCAAGGACAAGCATTGTGAGTTTTCAACACATTTGTTGGAAACTAATCATACATGTATTTTGTGTTAGGAATGACAATTTTTCTCAAAATAAACTAAATATAATTGTATTTAATAGGGCTGCCTTATACTTTTTCTGCAAATTATTTTCTATTACCACACAAAGAAACGGATCTCGGTAGCTTTTATCCATCCAGATTTACAGATGTAATAAGTTGGTAAGTTTATTCCCCAAATGAATGTTAAAAAGGAATACAATCAATAATATATCTTTTGGGGAAAATATGCTTTGTTTCACTAATGTGCATGATTCAAAATTGCACATAACTATTTTATGAACTGTTTTGTAGCTCCCATAGAAACATAATATAGTGCCATAGGCAGAAAAAAGAAAAGAAACTGCACAAGAGAATAATTAATAGCTTGAAGGTTTCAACTTAAAATCAATTTGGATTTGGTTCACTAGTATTCTACAAAGGTAAACTTCATGGGAAATGTAATGCAGTATAGTTTCTTTGATATTTGTTCAATTCTTGTTAGGTTGTTTGTTTGTATTCACTTGGAATTTCAATTTATTTTATTTTAGAACTAGAAAAGTCTGTACCAGGTGCTTAGATATCTGGTATGATTGTTTTAATGTTTAGCTTATATTCCATTAGAGAATAATACACCCAGGCTTATTGCAATTCAGTCTTTAACAATTCACAAATGCCTTCTGTTTTTTTTTTTCCAAATTCCACTTTTATTGTTCTTTTTAATTTAGTAGTATTTAATTTTTCACATAAAAGTATAATAATTGCTTTTATAGCAAGGTACACAATGGGAAATCTCAAATTGACTCAGCTATAAATGTTACGTTTCTAAAACTCGATTGAGGTTATTTAGAGAAAAACAAGTTTCTGACAGGTATGTTTACATGAAGGGTACCACATCATTCCTTTAACCACTAGCCTACAGGGCACTTATACCTCCTTTCTGCCCAGGCCAATTTTCAGCTTTCAGCGCTGTTGCACTTTGAATGACAATTACGCGGTCATGCAACATTGTACCCATATGAAATTTTTATAATTTTTTTGAGACAGATAGAGATTTCTTTTGGTAGTATTTAATCACCTCTGGGTTTTTTATTTTTTGCTAAACAAACCAAAAACAAGTGGAAATTTTGAAAAAAAAACTTTTTTCTTAGTTTTTGTATTAAAATTTTGTAAATAAGTGATTTTTCTCCTTCACTGATGTGCGCTAATGAGGCTGCAGTGATGGGCACTGATAGGCTGCACTGATGGGCACTAATAGGTGGCACTGATGGGCATTGAGAGGCATCACTGATGGGCACTGAAAGGCAACACTCATATATGGCACTGATAGGCAGCACTGACGGGCACTGATAGGCAGCACTGATGCGCACTAATAGGCGGCACTGACTGGCACTGATAGATGGCACTGACTGGCATTGATAGGTGACACTGAAAGTCAGATCTGATGGGCACTGAAATGTGGCATTGATGTGCATTGGTGGGCACTGATATGTGGCATTGATGTGGCACTGGCAGGTGGCACTGACGAGCACTGACAGGTGGCACTGCTAGGGCTACACTGATCATCAGGGCACACTGATCATCAGTGCCCTGATGATCAGTGTACATGTCCCCTATGAGGAATGAGGATTACCGGCTCTCCTCTCCTCTCGAGCCCTCAGCGTGACAGCTCATGAGAAGAGAAATGCAGATAAATTGCATTTCCCTATTTACATGTGATCAGCTGTGATTGGACACAGCTGATCACATGACCGAGCTGACATCTTCGGCTCTTTCCATTGATCGGTAATTCGCTGTGTCCGAGAGACACAGCGTACCCCCAATCACCACGCTGCGTGCTCCCGGAGCCGTGCACGTGCGGTTAGAGTGGGAGTCTTCCCAGAACGAGAGAACCACCTTACACCCGTCATTACCTGCTATGGTAGCCGGGAGGCAGTTAAAGCCTGACACATAAGAATTATGCAGGTTCTGTGGCTGATTAATGTGTTAATTAGGTTAATTTAGTGTTAGGTCATTTTATTCTGGTCAATAGCCTTTGAACTTCAGATTTTCAGTGCAGATCATTTTCTGCTTTGCAAATAACTTGTGAATTTTTGAGTTATACATTCTACTGGTGTTTGGGAAAACCTGATACACCTCTTTCAGCATTTACCACTGGACCACAGCCTGTTAGACTGTGACAATCACTGTAGAACATTAAAAACAAGATCTAAAGTCAAGGGAGATATGGATTTTTTTTATTAGTGTGAAAGCACTATAATATAAGCAGAAAGACCCCTACTCTGGTTTCCAACACCCCGCTACTATGTAGTCACCGGACACTATAATATATCTTCCTGGATATAAAGTGGTATAGATAAGAATGGTTGTATGACGCTACAATACACCTCCCCCTTTGTCTTACTTATACAGTGCTAACAAAATAAATAAATCAACAAATAGTATTATCTCATAAAGTGACAATACAATGGGGTTGATTTACTAAAAGGTAAATATACTGTGCACAGCAAGAGCACCTGCAAGTGCACTTCAACTGAAATAAAAGTGCAGTTGCTTTATATCCGAGTTGAAGCTCTTAAATGAGGTGAAGCTCTGCTCATTCTGCTCATTTCTCTTTCATCCAATCATGTGAACAAAAATGCTGTTTTTTTATTTTCCTTGCATGTTCCCCTCAGATCTAGAGCAAGTGCACAGCCTACTTGCCTTTAATAAATCAACCCCAATATGTTCTATAAAATACCTCCTATGTGAACAGTAACGTTTAAAAACTAAAAAAAAATGTAAAATAACTAACTTCAGATTGCCATTTTAAACTGTGTGTGTGTCACCTTGTGTCTCTGTACCAAGGCCAAACATTACAGAGTATGTAAACCTTTGATCATGGCCATTTGGGTGATTTCTATTATCATTATGATTTAAAAAGGAGACAAGTAACTATGTGATAATAAATGGCTTCATATGATCTCTATCCCTAAATAAAAGACAGAATTTGGCATGATCAGTCAAATTTCTAATATCAATGCCAAACTTTTACAGTCGTTGCCAGGGTTTGTAAACTTTTGAGCGTAACTGTAAATAATCCTTAACATTTACAGAAAAATATTCTCATTGCCTCTAAGTAGCTTATTATCTCCCTCTTGCCAGCATTGACATAGTCTTCTAATCTCTATTAAAACCACAGAGGACTAAGCCCCCATTTAGTGTGTTTCTGCTGATTTGCTTGACTATGCCTTACTGTGCTCAACATACAGAATACCAATCTTTCTAATTGTCCATGTTTCTGTTCACAATTGTATGCTCAGTCATCCAATGCACTATGCTCGTGCTCAAAAAAATACATGGAATATGAGCATTGTCAGGTGGACCCATAGACTTAAAGATGTGTACCTGTAAGCATAAGAAACACATCTCCACTCATTTTTATGCATATTTTTTACAAACATGGACCCACTCTCCTCTTCCAGAACTGCTCTCCTCCCCTTGCTCAGCCCATGAAATGAACAAAGAGGACTCTTATTTTTATCCATCTGGTGGTTAGAGCTCACTCTAATGTGTATGATCCAAGAAGTACACACTACAAAAACAGAATCAAGAGGCAGAGGTCCTGGGATAAAACAAACAAAACAATTTTCCTGGATTGGGAAATATTGTTTGCGTTGCAGAGAGAGAGCCAAGGTAAGCAACTATATATCTGTAGAACTGTTTGGGGGATCCATAAAGAGTGCCTCTTCACAACAAATTTCAGTGCCTGTTACAAATGCATGTACCTGTTGGAGGCATGGAAAGAGGTGACACTGGGGTCAGGGTATCCATACTGCAGACATTTTTGTCTTTGGTGCATTTTTAACCCCAGTAGCACAACATTATTAGTTACTAAGACCAGCCATTGGCTGTGTATTAGGATAATAAGAATGGGGGAAGTAAAGAAAGGTGGTTCCAGATCTTGTACTTGTGCAGAGATCTAGCACCATGTCTGTATACTGTACATACTTTTATACGAATGGAGGAAAGTAATGCCCGAGATATGTGATATTGGCATTCCAAGAGGTATTACTATCTTCCATTCAAATAATAGTATGAAAACAAATATGGTGCCTGATCTCTGTCTGTGCATGTGCAATATCTGGTGCTGCATCCATGAAGGGATAGCCAGCTCTCTATGACATAAAAAGCAAGATGGTTGAGTGGGACAAGACACATAGCAGGGCATTGAGACAAGAGAAGAGGACAATGCTGGATCCATTGGGCTTGTAAATATTTGATTACAACACAAGAATAAGAAAGGTAAGGAGGAAGGGGATGTAATTGGAAGGGCAAAGTTTCTATTTAATTAGCATTTAGGTTTACTGTGTTCTGCAGTATCAAAGTACACTAAAATATTTCTACATTTTACATTAGCATTGTTTGCTGTGTAGTCCAACACTATTTATAGCTGAATCTCTCTTCAAAACTGAAAAAGTGACAACTCTAGGCCTATAATTTATGTGTAAAAAATATACATTTATTATTGCAGGTATTTATATAAAGCCGAAAATTTACAGAGTGCTTTACATAATGTATATATTCTACAGTCACATCAGTCCCTGCCGTCAATGAGGTTACAATCTAAGGTCCCTAATTCCCATTCATACATACACGTACTATAGGCTTCAACTTGTTTTTAAAACTGTATATCAATCTAAGACTATCCTGTCTACAGGTTTACGATGTTATTCTGCAATTTAATTGCAGAAGGAGCAGCATTTTTTTTAAAAAGGAAAGCTGGCACATGGATTGCAAATCATCAAATGAAGGTTATTATTTCAAAGGTAAAATTCAGTCATAGCAAGACAGGCTAATGTTCTTTTGGCCAAAATGGGCCTTAAGCTTGCAATACATAGATCAAGATTCAGCCAGTTCAGCAAGGAATATTTCCACTATAGCCGACAGCACCAATCAGTGTATTCTGACAGCAGGGAAGCCTTCCTGCTATCAGAATACAATATCTCATTGTAAAGGTTTCCCCCATCCACACCTTCAAAATGGTTAATTTTCTTTCCTTCAACACACTGGTTGAAGGAAAAAAAAATGAATAATGTATTGGCTGTCTTAGTCATAGTTATCTGTCATGCCTTTTAAGTCACAATAAAAACGCCAGACCGCCTGTACAAGAGGCAAGATGGATACACAGGTTACAAACTAGATCACCTCATGGGTTAAACCTCAGATGGGATTTGGACATGCATTTAGGTTGATATTCATTGTACTGTGTATTATCTTTCCTCCTGTCATTGCCATTATTTCTAATGAAAGTTTGTTTAGCGTTCATTACAAGTTTTGATTAAGTAGCCTATTCATATTTATATTTATTTTATATTGTTTTGCTTTTGGTGTATTTTTTATATTGTGTCAGATATGTAGGTCTAACTAACAAAGCACATGCATCAGTTAGTGGTGATCACTCTTCCTTTTGCATTGGATGTAACAGATGATGGCTATGTTCTATGATTGGCACTTACCAGAGTGATAGACCACTGTATAATGGTGTGCTTCACTACAAGTAATGAACTATGAGTAAGGTCTTGTTTGACTGAACCGCATTAGTGTTGCTTGTCTTCTGGAACGTTTTTATACTCTGCATTCAAATAAAGTCTCATCCTCACCTTGTTGCCGATCCTATATGATTGACTCACCTGTATTATGGGGGAGGGCATTGCACAACATCAAAGGTTTTACATTATAATCAAGAACTGTAAAAACATCAGGTAACAAAAGTAGACACAGGTAACACAGTAGATAAACAGACTTTATAACAATTCTGTGTCTATATTTACAAGAATCTGTTGGATCACAAGAACAAATGTAACCGCAAAAACACCATGTCTTTGCCAAAGAAAAATCCCAATACATGTAAATTAATTGGTTTACATGAAGGTTAGAGTGTCTACAAATTGAGGTATATATACTGGAATTTTTTTTTAATTCTAGTAATGGCGGTGATTAGCGACTTATAGCGGGACTGCAGCGGGTATTCTGACACTGGGGGGGGGCGGGGACTGACTAACTACAACTGACATCCCAATGACACTAATACAGTAATCAGTGTTAATAAAAAGCACAGACACTGTGCTAATGACACTGGGCAGGAAGGGGTTAACATCTGGGGTTATCAAAGGGTTAACTGTGTGCTGTGATTTACTGTATGTGTTGTGTGCGTTTTCCTATGTAAGCATGATACTATGTAATTCTCTGCTGTGCAGAGAAGTACACAGAAGCATGTTACTGCTGGCAGAAGAGAGACCTGTGTTGTTAACAAATTTTATATAAAATAAAAATAAGAGACACAGGTCTCTCCCCTGTCACTGTTTCTCAGCGATCGCAGGGTGCCGTCGGAGAATCAACATCTGTAGCTGTCAATAGCAGCACAGATAGGGTGGTGCATGCATGCACATGCCCCCTACCCGGAAATGCAAAATCACATATATATTTGTGAATTTGCGCAGCCCTGCCACCCTGTAGCAGTAGTTCTGCTATAGGGCAGTCGAGAAGTGGTTAAGAATGATTTCAGAAAAAATGTTTTACTCAATTAACAAAATGAGTTAAAAAGCCTTCACAACATAAATTCTTCTAGGTAAATTTGCACACAAACTTTGAAGGAACTCAGCAGGTAAGCTGCTCCAAACACCTTGGAGAACTAACCACAGATATTCTGTGGATGTTGGCTGCCTCAAATCCTTCTAAGGCAAGTACCTAATCCAACATGCCATACCATTAGGGAGGAATGCAATTGGCCATAGAGTCCTAGAAGTGATGGTTTGGCTCCCACAGAGCCCTGATCTCAACATCATCAAGTCTGTCTGGGATTACATGAGGAGGCAGAAGGATATGAGACAGCCATCCATAGAAGATTTGTCGTTAGTTTCCCAGGATGTTTGGAACAACCTACCTGCTGAATTTCTTCAAAAACTGTGTGCAAGCGTACCTAGTAGAATGGATGCTGTTTTGAAGGCAAAGGGTGGTCACACCAAATATTAATTTAATTTGGATTTCTCTTCTGTTACCTTACTTTTTTTTTTTACTCATGTTGTTAAAAATAAACTATTAACATTTCTATTTCTTAAAGATTTCTTAATTGACAGCATGTTTTTACACATGCCTAAAACTTTTGTACGGTACTGTATATTTTCAATGGTCAGGTGGTACAACCTGCATACTATAAACAGCATTCTTGGCATGAAATGACCACATTACTGGTATTACAACTGATATGCTGTTCAAATTCTCTCCTTTGGCCATAGATACTACCTGTTTATTATTTGCATGTATTGAATTCATATTGATATGAATCAGTGATAAACAGCCATGTTGTCAAGGTCCTGCCTTTTCCCGGAGGTTGTGCTGCTCCATGTGCTGGCATCCATCTTGGGTTTCTGCAAAGAGCATGGTGGGAGTCTTTTATGCCTTCAGGCCTCTGAGGTCCATCCCCCAGAGGGGTGTGGTTGACTACATATAAGTCTGTTGTCCACACATGCTCGTTGCATTCGTGTTTTAGTGTTGCAACAGTTCTGTGTATACTCTCGTGACTCTCCTGGAATCTGACTCGGCTTGTGACTAGACCATTCTCTGCGTTTTCCTTTGATCTGACCTCCCGTTGCTGAACCCGGCCTGTGACCTGTGATTTTTGTCTACTGTTCTGTACCTTTTGTCCCGTTGTTGTCGACCCGGCCTGCCCGACTACGCTATTGTCTCATCTGATTCCTACCAGCTACACGCCACTGGCGGCGGCCATTACCACAGCTGGGGTGTCTCGGGGGCCGTCACCTGGTTCCTGGCTGCGTCAAGTCCATCCCCACCATCAGGGGCCCTGGTGAAAGGCAGCCTGGGACTTAGACTCCGCGCCCTGAGGGACTCCGGTCTGTGGGTGGTGGTTGTCGTCAGTCAGTGCGTGACCCTGCCTCTAGGCCTGCCTGTCCATTCCACAGCTCCTGCCCTGACACATGTCTTGTTATTAAAGCCACACTCTGATTTATAGAAGCTAGGTGACAAAAGAGATTCCAAAATTGGTGCTTTTCTACCCTGTCACCCAGTTACTGGAAGCAGAAAAATAGTGGATCTACTGGCAAGATCCACAGGTAATAAAACTATGCTACAGGGCAGGGTTACTAGCTGTATTATTGCTAGTTACAGATTGCATCATTTATGTCCATGTGGTCATGGTTCATTGTGAATACACTTAAATGGAGAAAAGGCAGATGTCCAGCCAGTTCAACTTCTAAACATTCACAGCTACCACTTACCATTGTCACACACCTGCAGATTTTCACTGCTAAGGATACCCAATAGGGCTTCAGGACTTTTTGAGTCCTACTCCTCTGGAGCCTGATATGGTATGCCAAGCCTACAAACCTCTAAAAAAAAATACAATTTATTGAAATTGCCTATTTTAATTACTTGTAACCTGATTGAGTCCCTCCACTGACCTAGAACATAAATTCGACTGGAATATTATTTTTCAAAACAAGCAATTACTGATGTTCTGTGATATTTTCTTTTACCATTTCCTGGGAAGTGTTTATCATTTTCACACTAGTAAGTAAATGTCACATTATGATGGCGTGTACATTGTTCTAATCTGCTTTGCATATCAACCATCAGGGTGTCCATGAAATGTTGTCTTACAGTGAAATGTTCATAATTTTAATTATAAGTGCATTATTTAATATAATTTATGCAATGCACCATTTTAGCTTTAAACCCATAGAAAATATAATTTACAACAGTTTTCATATGTCAGCATAGCAGGCTACCCTAAATTCTTTTTTATTTAAGTATACCTGCTTTTAAGCATGCTTTGAATATATTGAAGATATTCTCTTGGTAGAAAAGGTTGTTAAATTATAGCAGCATTGGTTAAGGTGCTGTAATCTCCTGGCAAAGAAAAATTGCTACAACGAAGGACATCATAATGAGGGTGAATGATTTCCTATACTGAGTTAATGATATTTTAGTTGGCTGGTTCATAACCTTCAGTGGACAAGGCATATAAAATCATAATGAAAACATGTTTTGCTGTATATCATATACTGAAAGATAAATAGATAAAAGACTATTACACAAGTAATAAAATGAATCATTCCTGTGGAAAAAAAGGATGCAGTCCATGCCAAAGACAATTTTTAGAATATGGCATTTCTTGTATGCTGTTACAAAACATTATATTATTAATTGTCTTCTTATTAATAAAATAATGCTTTTCTAAATGTAATCTTAGACACTGAAGGAACTTACAGCATTGTGCATGTTGCATTTCATTATCTATACAGAAACAGATACAGTAGATAGCTTAACATAAGTGACCTGGACTGTGTAATAAACTGTACTATATGAAGCATATAAAATATTCAAACAAGATAAAGATCCCCAGGAAAAAAATGGACACAGTTCTATGTTTAGTTGTTTTATATAGGGTCACTTTCTCATTTTCACCTAATTCAATATTTACATTTAAAGTGAACCAGTGCCCAGACTTTGCATACCACAAACTATGTATTTACAAACTATGAACAAGCAGTTAAAGCAATTCAAAACAAGCTCCAACTGACCTCTGTAGCTATAGGCAATGTGTAGAAATTTCAGAATTTCAAAATTCTTAACACAAGCCCTGAATTCTTTTTTTTTTAATTATATTTTTTATTAAATTTTCTTTTAAGAAAAAAAACACTACAAAACAACCATATAGTCTTATTACATCATACACGTAAACGTTATCCCCATACCCAAATCAAAACACCCTTTTCCAGTCTCATCTTATCCTCTCTTTCCCCTCCTATTGATCTAGTCATACATATAGATCTCTTTAACCATTTAAATTCTCTGGTTCTAATATCAGGGGACCTTCCATTTTTAAGTATTTTTCTAATGTCTTAAACTCATAACATCTACCCGAAATCTTTCTAAACTTTTCCATTTCATCTTTCTCCATGTAAAAAAGTTCCTCCATCCTACTAACATATTCAACTCGGTCTATCCAATCCCTCATTGTTGGTGGATCCTGGGCCTTCCAAAACCTAGGGATTAAATCCTTTGCCACACCAATCATATGATATAATAAACTGTTTTTATATTGTTTTACCAACAACTCTGTTCTATAGAAAAGACACAGCCATCCTTCTGTATAGATGTCCCTCAAATCTCCTGTATATGATTAATTATCTCCTGCCAAAATAACTGAATTTTTGGGCATTCCCACCATATATGAGCCATTGTCCCTATTGCCCCACACCCTCTCCAGCATAAAGGTAATACTTCCTCTCACTGTTTATGTACCACACTCGGTGTGCATTACCATCTAGACAAGTATTTAGAATTCATCTCAACTCTATTTGTGTTCGCTACCCCATGCATTGACTTAAACATTTTCCTCTTCTGGTGATCATTAATTTTTGTACTCTGTTCTCTTTCCCAACCCTCTAAGAATGACGGAGATCCATCTCCTTCCAATTCCCTTCATATAATCTCCCAAACGTGCATTTCTATCTTTAAACCGTTTTCCCAAAATGTTTCCCTTTCCTGGAGGAAAAAATTCTGTGTCCCCCAACGGCAACAATAATGAATGATATTTCCAACCCATAGACTTGTGTAAAAACCATCCCAAACTCTCAATACATCCCGTGTCAGTATACTGCTATTTTCATCTAATGCCTGAAATTTTTGTGGGATCCATATGATCCTCTCCAACTGTGTTTTACTTAATATGACTTAAATTTTAACCAAACTTTTTTCTTGTGAATTATGTGTCCAATCCACCACCCGTGATAATACCACCGACAAATAATATTTCCTCATATTTGGCAAGTTTAGTCCTCCATTCTCTTTATGATAACAAAGTTTCATACTTAAATCTTGGTTTCTTATTAGCCCAAATAATCCTAGATATCAACTTTTTTATTATCCTAAAAAAGGATCCTGGTAATTTTATGGGGAGCATCTTAAACTTATATAGGATTTTTGGGACTATTACCATCTTAACCAGATTTATCCGCCCAATCCATGAAACCCACCCTCCTGAGAGTCTCCTCAATTCCTCTTTAATTTAATAGTGGGCTATAATTAGCCTGGTATAGGTCCTTTACTGCAGGGTTTAGTTTTATTCCCAAATACCGTATTTTTCACTCCATAAGACGCACTTTTTTCCCTCCAAAAAAGAGGGAAAAATGTCAGTGTGTCTTATGGAGCGAATATGGAGCAGCCGGTCAGGTATTTCTGCCGCCGCCACAATGTCAGAAAACCGGGCTGGCTGCTCAGCTCTTTTCTCCTTCAGGACCTTACCTGTTCCTCTGTCCAGCGCTGTAGTCTTCCTGCACAGGCTTCTGTGACAGCCGGGTGCCCACTGCACATGCGCGAGAAGCACTGCGCTTTGTGAATGGTCCGGCGACTTCTGGGACACATGACAGGTTCCAGAAGGCACTGGGCCATTCACAAAGCTCAGCGCTTCTCGCGCATGCACAGTGGGCACTTGGCTGTCACAGAAGCCGGCGCGGGAAGAAGCCAGTGTGTCCACACTAAAGAAAGGACAACTTCAGGTACCCGCTCCCCCTCCCTCCCCAAAGGTCCGCAGTCTCTTGGTCATCCCCTGTACTGTCTGCAGTCTCTGGTCATCCCCTGTACTGTCTGCAGTCTCTGGTCATCTGTACTATGTCCACAGTCCCTGGCATTTTCCCTGTACTATGTCCACAGTCTCTGGTCATCTCCTGTACTGTGTCTGCAGTCTCAGGTCATCTCCTGTACTGTGTCCGCAGTCTCAGGTCATCTCCTGTACTGTGTCCGCAGTCTCTGGTCATCTCCTGTACTGTGTCCGCAGGCTCTGGTCATCTCCTGTACTGTGTCCGCAGGCTCTGGTCATCTCCTGTACTGTGTCCGCAGGCTCTGGTCATCTCCTGTACTGTGTCCGCAGGCTCTGGTCATCTCCTGTACTGTGTCCGCAGGCTCTGGTCATCTCCTGTACTGTGTCCGCAGGCTCTGATCATTCCCTGTACTACGTCCGCAGTCTCTGGTCATCTCCTGTACTGTGTCCACAGTCTCTGGTCATCTCCTGTACTGTGTCCACAAGCTCTGGTCATCTCCTGTACTGTGTCCGCAGTCTCTGGTCATCTCCTGTACTGTGTCTGCAGTCCATTGGTTCAGAATATTTTTTTTTTTTCTTGTTTTTCACCTCTAAAACCTAGGTATGTCTTATGGTCCGGTGCGTCTTATGGAGCGCGAAATACGGTACTTTAAATCTCTTTCCTTCCATGAAAATGGGAACTGTTCTTGTAAGTTCTACCTTTCTACCTTCGAAACATTAATATTCAAAATATCAGATTTTGTAGGGTTTAGTTTTAGATTAGATAGCTCTCCATACTGTTTCAACAGTGTCATTAGGTTAGGCAATGCCACTCTAGAGTTCACTATATAAAACAGCATGTCGTCTGCATATGCAGCTACCTTATGTTCTGCTCCTCCTATCTTAATGCCTGTAATATCAATGTTCTTTCTTACCACAGCCAAAAAAGGTTCCAGAGACAGCACAAACAATAACGGGGATAATAGGCATCCTTGTCTAGTTCCATTATGCATTCCTAAAAGTCCCAGACAGGGTACCATTAACATTCATTGCTGCTGAAGGGCCATTCTAAAGCCCTTTTATCCACTTCAACATTGTTTCCCCTATTCCCAGGGCCTCCATTGTATTTAACATAAACCCCCAATCTGCCCTATTGAAGGCCTTTTCTGCGTCTATCGACAGGATTATTGTCGACTGCCTGCCTCTCTTTGCTTTCTGTAGAAGGAGTAACGTCCTCAAGCCGTTGTCTCTTCCTTCCCTTCCTGGAACAAAACCTACCTGATCTAAATCTACCCATTCCATCATGAACTCCTTCTACCTGGCAGCCAAAACTTTTGCAAACAATTTGGTATCAGTATTTAATAATGGTATGAGTCTATAGCTATTACATTGTGAGCTATCTTTCCCTTCTTTACGAATGATTGTTATATGTGTGTGTAATGATTCTCCTATCATTTCCGTTCCTACTCCCAACGCATTCATATATCTACAAAAGTTTAGGGACCAATAACTCTTTAAACTTTTTATAAAATCCCACTGTATAACCATCAGAGCCCGGGCTCTTTCCCCCCACCAAGCTTTTCAGAGCTGATATAATTTCATCTTGGGAGATAGAACGTTCTAAAGATATTAAATTATCTTTTGCAATTTTTGGTAAATCTGCTGCAGTTAAAAATTCTTGCCTTCTCTTCCTCAACTCTTCTTTTGTGGCTTTTAAATTTATGGGGTTCACCTCATACAGCTTACTATAGAACTTTTGAAACACATTGGCGATACCAGTGGTAGAGTAGACCAGCTCCCCATTTTCATCTTTAATTTTTTCTATATAATATTTTGATTTCTTTTCCTTCAGTCTCTTCTTCATAAATTTTCCAGGCCTATTCCTCCACTGGTATCTTTCCTTTGAGACTCTATTAAAAACTTTCCTCATTTCCTGTTCAGTTAGATCCTTCAATTATTCTCTTTTAAGAATAATCTTCCCATATAAATCTGAGTCCTGCTTTAATTTATGTGCCAGTTCTAATTTATGTAATTCTTCAATTACCCCTTTTAACTTCCTCTCTCGGTCTCTCTTTTTTTTGTTCCTGCAGCTATCAAAATTCCTCTCACATAGACCTTATGAGCCTCCCATATATTCGCCTCTGATAGTTCCTTTGTTTGATTCATAAGAAAAAATTGTTCTAACTTTTCCCTAAGCCTCTTTTCTAACTCAGGGTCCTGCAAAAATGCCTCATTTAATCTCCACATGGCCCTCTTATTTCCCTCTCCTCCCAATTGTAGTCTCGCCGTGACAGGAGCGTGATCATATATGGTCATAACAAATGGTCATTTCAACAAACATTCCAGATGCCTGTGCTCTATTAGTACATAATCCAATCGTGAATATGATCTGTGCACATACGAGAAGAAGGTATAATCCCTATCTCTAGGATGTTTTACTCTCCAAGTATATATTAATTGGTTTTGATATAATTCCTTTTTTCAGCTTTCTTAATTTTTTCCCTTCCTTCTTCTGCACAGCTGTAGACGTATCCATCCGTGGATCCAAAGAACAATTAAAGTCTCTTGCCACAATTAGACTACCTCTCTTAAATTCCATAATTTTCCCCATTAGACTTAGAAGGAAGTCCTCTGGATTCTTATTTTGGCAATAGATATTACAAATGTGTATCTTTGCCCCTTTAATTTCCCTCTCAATTCTAAATACTGACCCTCTGGATCCACCAATTTTTCCTCAACCTCAAAATTTATATTTTTTGCAAATCCTATTGCCACTCCCTTGGCCCTCTTTATTGGTGAATCCACATAGTACCAAGTTGGGTAGTACCTTGAGTATAACTTAAAGTTGGTGTCATATGAAAGGTGTCTCCTGTAGGAAGGCCACATCTATAGAGTGTTGGTACACTTCCCTAAGTATCTTATGTCTTTTAGCTGGAGAATTGAGACCTTTCACATTATATGTCAAGATGCTAATCCGACTCATGTCTAATATATATTTCTCTCTTACATCTACATATCGTTTTATAGATAGGGGAACCATAGCAATTTTGACTCATGGACAGCCACCCTCCCCCCATTTCCCCCCCCCCCCCACCCCCCCCGCCATCCCTCCCACCTCGTCAATCCCTCCTCCCTCCCCTTCCCAGCCCTTCCCTAAAACCCTCTTGGTCTATATATTGCCCTAGAATCTGAATATGAATCTGTGCCCCCCCCCACTGGCAATTCCTATTTTGGGGTATGACTCTGAGCATAAGCACGACTCTTGACCCCCTGTTCTCAACATAGGGACTTCTCCCTTCTTCCAACTATTTCAAGACCCTGAGAAGCTCCAGGCGACCACTGTTACTGTAAATAATTCATATCCATAATTCTTCTTGTGAATCAGATGAGGGCCCGTAAGGGCAAAAGGGGAAGGAGAGATGGGAGCTGAGGGGAAATGAGAGAAAAGAAATAAAGTAAAGAAAGAAATGAAGTCACCTCCTCTTCCCCTTCTCACTAATTCCTCCCCTCTCCTGCCCTACCCCCTCTACGGGCCCTACATCCTCCCACCTTCAACTACTTTTTCCTACTCTTAACTTGCTGCCATTTCTCAGTTCTAATCATCCTCTCTTTATTCCCCTCTGACCATCCCTCTATATCTACAAACTGCAATTCTAATTTTTCACAAAAGTCTCTTAAGTCCTCTGGGTATCTCTGTCTTGCCGACTTTCCATTTCTCCACCTTATCAGACATGCCGAGAACCCCCAGTTATAACGAACTCCTTTCTCTTTCATCTGCTCTGACAGTTTCAAAACTCTTCTTCTAGAGAATGTCTCTGGAGCTATGTCCACAAAAATCTGCAAGTTCGTTTTTCCATATTTTATTTCAGGAGTTTCAAGCAATTTTTTTCCATATTCTCTCTTTTTCTTTGTAATTATGAAAATGCACAATCACATCTCTTGGAGACTCTGGCATAATACCCGGAGGGCATCTAATTCTATGCACTCTTTCCAATATTAATGTGTCTGTTAAGTACACTTTTTATTTTTTTCTGGTAGGTCCTCTTCTCTGGTATCCTCTGATAGGCCCTGAATCCTCAGATTGTTTCTCCTTTCTCTATTCTCTTGATCCTCTGCTTTATAAAATAACTTCATCTGTTCTTTTTTTCTATCTCTTCTACTTGCTTTTCCAATTTTATAATCTCCTTCGCTTATGCCTCCGTCTTTCTTTCTATTTCTTCAATTCTAGCCAGAATTCTACCCAGGTCCTTATGAATCACCACCATTTCATTTTTTATGGAGCATTCTAGTTTTGCAAACATTTCTACCATTTCATTTTTAGTAGGCATTTGAGATAACGCTTCCTGTTGGCCCGTCATGTTATGTTCTATTATACTTTCATTATTTGAAGATTCGTTTGGCTGGTCTCCATCCTGAATTCCAAATGACAGTCTAGATTGTTCCCCATCTGACTTCCTCTTTATTTCCTTTTGATCCCCTGGGCCTTTACTCTCAGGGCTCTTTTTCTTGTGTTGTCAAGTATCTCTTAATTGAACTCAAGTTGGTATTCGACTGAGGGATCTTAACCCCTCCTCCTTTGGTATTTCTACTCCTCATATTATATGGACTTTCATATAGATATAGGATATAGTCACAATTGACCTACTGAGAACACCCAGCACCTTCTTCTACCCGCCCAGTCCTCCTTCCCCGGTGTCCATCCCCCTTCTGCAACAAAAAAGCAATATAGCAAATACTGGTATAGCTATTAAGCCGGAAACTCACTGGATCCTTAAAAGTATGGCTTTCTGGCTCCTTATGGAAGGATGGAGAGATGGGTGGTCTGGGCGGGGAATCCGTTAGTTCAAGACTACTTGTGCTCTCGAGTGTCTCAATGTCTTTTATTTTATTTTATTCTGCTGTTTGACAGATCCTCTCCATATGATGTAAAAAAAAAATCCCAAAAAACAGAGGGATCTGTCCTCGATCCCTTCGGGAGCTCCAAGGACCTGTGTCCCCGCAGAGGACACAAGCTTAACCACTGCAGCACCTCCACTTCCCTCCTGCAGGAGCCTAACAACAGTACTCTCCTCCTGACAGGTACAGGGACACAGCTGCCTCCCCGCTTGCCGGGAGTTCAGCTTCTCATCCCCTCCTCTGCAGGCAGTCTTGGATTCCCCCAAGATTGCCATGTTGGTGCCTCCCAGCTCCTTCGGTCACTGCTGCTCACCGTTCAACCATGGAGGGAGATTGCAAGCCTCCTCACTCCGCTCACGTCCACCCAGCTCCCAGCAAGATCCATAAGGTAGGTCAGGGGAAATTTTACTTTCGGTAAGGCAGTCCTGCCGGAGCTCCCCTGCATCCCCAACTCACAGCGCCATGCTCAGACAAGCCCTGAATTCTTAGCTCTTTTCCTATCCCTTTCTATTGCACCAACATTTAGGAAAGTTTCCATCACTCTAATATAAACATACCACATATTATTATTATTATTCAGGATTTATATAGCACCAACAGTTTGCACAGCGCTTTACAAAATTAAGAAAGACATTGCAGTTAGAATACAATTTGGTACAAGAGGAACCAGAG